TTAAATGGAGAGTTGGAGGTATTGGGAAGATGGAGGGAATATTTTGAAGAATTGTTAAATGTTGATGAAGATAGGGAAGCTGTGATTTCGTGTATAGGGCAAGGAGGAATAACATCTTGTAGGAGAGAGGAAGAGCCAGTTGTGAGTGTGGGGGAAGTTCGTGAGGCAGTAGGTAAATTATAAGGGGGTAAGGCAGCCGGGATTGATGGGATAAAGATAGAAATGTTAAAAGCAGGTGGGGATATAGTTTTGGAGTGGTTGGTGCAATTATTTAATAAATGTATGGAAGAGTGTAAGGTACCTAGGGATTGGCAGAGAGCATGCATATTTCCTTTGTATAAAGGCAAAGGGGATAAAAGAGAGTGCAAAAATTATAGGGGGATAAGTCTGCTGAGTATACCTGGTAAAGTGTATGGTAGAGTTATTATTGAAAGAATTAAGAGTAAGACGGAGAATAGGATAGCAGATGAACAAGGAGGCTTTAGGAAAGGTAGGGGGTGTGTGGACCAGGTGTTTACAGTGAAACATATAAGTGAACAGTATTTAGATAAGGCTAAAGAGGTCTTTGTGGCATTTATGGATTTGGAAAAGGCGTATGACAGGGTGGATAGGGGGGCAATGTGGCAGATGTTGCAAGTGTATGGTGTAGGAGGTAGGTTACTGAAAGCAGTGAAGAGTTTTTACGAGGATAGTGAGGCTCAAGTTAGAGTATGAAGGAAAGAGTGAAATTTTTTCCCAGTAAAAGTAGGCCTTAGACAAGGATGTGTGATGTCACCGTGGTTGTTTAATATATTTATAGATGGGGTTGTAAGAGAAGTAAATGCGAGGGTCTTGGCAAGAGGCGTGGAGTTAAAAGATAAAGAATCACACACAAAGTGGGAGTTGTCACAGCTGCTCTTTGCTGATGACACTGTGCTCTTGGGAGATTCTGAAGAGAAGTTGCAGAGATTGGTGGATGAATTTGGTAGGGTGTGCAAAAGAAGAAAATTGAAGGTGAATACAGGAAAGAGTAAGGTTATGAGGATAAAAAAAAGATTAGGTGATGAAAGATTGAATATCAGATTGGAGGGAGAGAGTATGGAGGAGGTGAATGTATTCAGATATTTGGGAGTGGACGTGTCAGCGGATGGGTTTATGAAAGATGAGGTGAATCATAGAATTGATGAGGGGAAAAGAGTGAGTGGTGCACTTAGGAGTCTGTGGAGACAAAGAACTTTGTCCTTGGAAGCAAAGAGGGGAATGTATGAGAGTATAGTTTTACCAACACTCTTATATGGGTGTGAAGCATGGGTGATGAATGTTGCAGCGAGGAGAAGGCTGGAGGCAGTGGAGATGTCATGTCTGAGGGCAATGTGTGGTGTGAATATAATGCAGAGAATTCGTAGTTTGGAAGTTAGGAGGAGGTGCGGGATTACCAAAACTCTTGTCCAGAGGGCTGAGGAAGGGTTGTTGAGGTGGTTCGGACATGTAGAGAGAATGGAGCGAAACAGAATGACTTCAAGAGTGTATCAGTCTGTAGTGGAAGGAAGGCGGGGTAGGGGTCGGCCTAGGAAAGGTTGGAGGGAGGGGGTAAAGGAGGTTTTGTGTGCGAGGGGCTTGGACTTCCAGCAGGCATGCGTGAGCGTGTTTGATAGGAGTGAATGGAGACAAATGGTTTTTAATACTTGACGTGCTGTTGGAGTGTGAGCAAAGTAACATTTATGAAGGGGTTCAGGGAAACCGGCAGGCCGGACTTGAGTCCTGGAGATGGGAAGTACAGTGCCTGCACTCTGAAGGAGGGGTGTTAATGTTGCAGTTTAAAAACTGTACTGTAAAGCACCCTTCTGGCAAGACAGTGATGGAGTGAATATATATATATATATATATATATATATATATATATATATATATATATATATATATATATATATATATATATGTATATATATATATATATATATATATATATATATATATATATATATATATATATATATATATATATATATATATATATATATATATATATATATATATATATACATATATATATATATATATCGTGCCGAATATGTAAAACTGGTCAATTGGGAAGAACTCATTTAAAATTAAGTCCTTTTGATAATTTTCTTATATTCGTTTGAAGATATATTCTTTTCATTAATGTTAATGTAAAATAATTTAATTTTGCACCAAAAGAATCTTAGAAAACTTACCTAACCTTATTATAACAAGAACAATTTATTTTAGCCTAACCCAACTAAATATATTTTAGATTTGTTTACAATAATTTAATACTAAACAAGCACAGTGAAATATATTTATTTCGTTAGGTTCAGAATGATTTTGGCGAAATTACTGCATACGCAAATTTTCGCTTGTCCTATATGGCAAGATGAGCGTTGCTATTTAAGCCAAGATCGCAAGTTCTGCCTATTCGGCACGACATATATATATATATATATATATATATATATATATATATATATATATATATATATATATATATATATATATATATATATATATATGTATAATATATATATATATATATATATATATATATATATATATATATATATATATATATATATATATATATATATAATACTGATCGCGAGTTTAGTATTCCAAACAGGGAGTAGAATGAAATTAGCTCAGAGGTACCCGCACCACCGTATGTCCTCGGGTGATGTAAAACACCTATCTCTTCTGGGTGCGTGATTCTTGTAGGATTGTGTGGTCCCGTGGGTTAGAGCGTCATGTGTGATTTTCGCTAACCATGTAGCGAGCCAAAACGACATGGGTGCTGCCTGTGGACCAGGATCTGTCAAGGTGAGGAAGCAGCCTGAGTGACACATTCGTCACATTCAACTCGTTTAGCTGATATTTCCTGAGGAGCGGTTTTCGTTGTTCATACTAGGTGTAATTCTCTAGTGTTGACACGTCTGCGAGATACACGTAACTTCAGGAATAGCCAGTGAACTTGCTAAGTCGGACTGCTTCATAAGCCGTCGCTGGCCATTATAGTCCAACGTCTTCAGAGGTAAGCACAAGAGTCTCCTTCCCTGCTCCCCTCAAAGGAGGTTCCTTGATGCTGGTGAGGGGCTTTATATCTAGGGAATTGGATCTGTGCTGCAGTTCCCTGAATTAAGCCTGAATGCCTTCCATATCCCCCCGCATGCGCTGTATAATCATATGGGTTTAGCGCTAACCCCATGATTATAATAATTATATAAATCCTTCCCTGCTTTAGTGTTTATCGGGTTTTTGCTTACTAGAATGCTTCAGGAACAGGTGTTAAGCTAGAATGCTTCCCTTACATGTGGGTTATATTATTGTGAAGGAGTTTCTGAACCCAAACTTGCCATAGGAAAACTTGGCAACGCTTAACAAACCTGTGACCGCACGTTCATGACCTACTGAGGACCTAGTGCAATATCTTGCACTTCTATGCAACATTCATCATTCCTAAAAAAAGGTAAATGATGATGATAAGTACCTTAGTGGTGTAAAATTTCTAGTGATATTTCCAGCGCCTTTGTGCCTAAGTGCTAGCTAGTCTTTGGCCATTTTGTATAATTTTTTAATGTTCTCTGCTTCGTGTTCTGTGTTAGATGTTACCTGTTTAATATCCACTGTTTTGTGTTCTGTGTTTAGTGGTAACTGTTTAGTGATTTCTACTTGCTGTTTTGTTTGCTATTTCGATATTTTGATTCAAAGATTTTCTAAGCATTATAATATAGTAGCACAAAATTTAATCTATTGATGGAATAAAATTATCAAAATAATGGATGAAGCAATTCGTAATTATTCTACAAACTGAAGCTGAAAACAAAACACGATTTCGATCACTATCAAAATATTACCAAGAGGTAACTTAATGTAAATAAGACATGTTGTGCAAGAAAGGTATAAAATACCGACAATATGAAAGTTAAGACACATGTGCAACATCTGGATATCTTTATAGTAGACGTTTCGCCATCCAGTGGCTTTATCAATACAGATTCTAAGACATAATTAGAAGACAGTAGAACTACACACAAAAGATGAGGTAGTCAGTCCCTCAACCTTGGAGTTAGTGTTCACAATATCGTGAACACTAACTCCAAGGTTGAGGGACTGATTACCTCATCTTTTGTGTATAGTTCTACTGTCTTCTAATTATGTCCTAGAATCTGCAGTGATAAAGATGCCCAACTGTTGCACAAGTGTTGCACATGTATCATGCTCATTTATAATATCAGTGCATGTGTTATGGAAATGGGGAGCTCAGTGAGAGCTTTGTTAGAGCTCTTATTAAGAGACATATTTCTCATCTTAAATATTCTGGTACTGTGTCTTTTTCCTGCTTACGTATTTGTCGGTATTTGACTCCATTACTGAAGTTGATAACACACAACAGAGGGTCACTTCGTCCACTTTCCACTACCCGTTTATAACTAGTCCCCTAGTTCGCTTTCTGGATAATTTTATTCTTCTTTTAAGCTCTTTTAACGTTGGCTTTGATTTCTAACCGTATCAGCTCCATAAAGATCTTTGCTTAGAGAAATGTTTCACTTCCTTTGTTTCCTTAAGACACAATTCTCGTTGGCTCATACTTGCCCAGTGTGATTACTGCGTGAGCGTACTTCCCCATTATTAACTGATACATTCAGCTGAACTAATATATCAATTCCATCTCTAACATTCAGCACATTGCTACTCTCTTCCTCTAGTCAGGTTGGTCAGGTCTGAAGGACGAGGAAAATATTACCCTCTTTAAAACTAATCTGCATAATCGACCAAACTATCCTTACAGTGAAGCTATCCACTCTACAGTCTCTATCAGTCTCCATACAATCCCCGGGTATCTCTAAAATCTTCAATAATCTTCTTACAGCTTCCATAAATCCTCTTACAGTTCCATTAACTGCTTTGAAATTATACTAATCATCATACAATTACCTTTAATCTCCCTACAGTTTATACTAGACATGATTACTAATGATCCTTGGTGATGTTTGTTTGATGCACAGACCCACCAGTAGCCACTATGGAGCTGGGTCGAGGTGTGGCTCCAGTGGTGAAGGAAGGAGAGGACGTCTACTTCAACTGTAATGTTGACGCCAACCCTCCCACGTACAGGATTTCCTGGTACAGGCTGGTGAGTATCCTTATTTCGCTAAATCTCTGTTCGTCGTTACTCTGTTCCTCACTAGCATATTCTTCATTGCTTTGTCCTTCATTACTCTGTTCTTCATTACAATATTCTTTATCACCAGTATATAAATTTTCAGATATGCTTCAGCGTAACTGGAAAATGTTACATACACTTTTTCTCTGATTAAAATGCTGCTGCTACTACTGCTATTACTACTACTACTACTACTATTATTATTATTACTTCTTGTACTACTACTACTACTACTACTATTACTACTTGTACTATTGCTTCTACTACTATTATTACTACTAATTCTACTTTTATTACTGCTACTACTGCAATTAATACAATTAATTCTACTATTATTAAAATTACTGCTACTACTACTACTTCTACTTCTATTACTACTACCAGTAGTTGACTACTACTACTAGCACTATTGAATGTAGATTAGTGGTTTAGAGTCCCGACAAGTTGATAAATTAGACACATGTGCAACACTTGGGTATCTTTATTGAGGAAACGTTTCGCCACACAGTGGCTTCATCAGTTCATACAAAGGAGAATGGTGAAGAACAGGAGGAGTTTGAGGTAATCAGTCCCTCAGCCTTGTGTCGATGTAATCAGTTGAACAGGCCCTGATCCACCATGAAGCTTGGTCACAGACCGGGCCGCGGGGGCGTTGACCAGCGGAACTCTCTCCAGGTAAACTCCACGTAACTCTAGTCCATCGATCATGAAAAGAATACAGCATGTGTGCGAAGAAGTGGCTTATATACTGTAGACAGGTGATGTCAAGCATTTATCTATATACCTGTCAGATACAGCAACATCTTGGGATCTTAATACAGGGAATTCTTCACTTGCCTAACCTTCAGGTATGACCTACTTCCACATTTGGATTTGTGAAGTGCGATACCACCTACGACTGCATCACCTCACCTGTCTACAGTATATTACCTGGAGTTTACCTGGAGAGGGTTTCGGGGGTCAACTCCCCCGCGGTTCGGTCTGATACCAGGCCTCATGGTGGATCAGGGTCTGATAAACCAGGCTGTTACTGCTGGCCGCACGCAAACTGACGTACGTACCACAGCCCGGTTGGTCAGGTGCTGACTGTAGGTGCCTGTCCAGTGCCTTCTTGAAGACAGCCAGGGGTCTATTGTTAATCCCCCTGATGTAGCTGGGAAGCAGTTAAACAGTCTTGGGCCTCGGACACTTATTGTGTTGTCTCTCAATGTACTCGTGGCACCCCTGCTTTTCATCGGGGGAATGTTGCATCTCCTGCCGAGTCTTTTGCTTTCATAGGGAGTGATTTTCGTGTGCAGGTTTGGTACTAATCACTCCAGGACTTTCCAAGTGTATATTATCGTGTATATCTCTCGCCTGTGTTCCAAGGCATACAGATCAAGGACCTTCAACTGTTCCCAGTAATTTAGGTGCCTTATCGTACTTATGTGCGCTGTGAAAGTTATTTGTACACTCTCCAGGTCTGCAATGTCGCCAGCCTTGAAGTGGGCCGTTAGTGTACAGCAGTATTCCAGCCTAGAGCGCACAAGCGATTTGAAGAGTGTCATCATGGGTTTGGCCTCCCTAGTTTTGAAGGCTCTCATTATCCACCCTATCATTTTCCTAGCGGATGAGGTAGATACATTGTTATAGTCTTCGAAGGCGAGATCCTCTAACATTATCACTTCCAGGTCCTTCACATTACTTTTCCGCTCTATGGTATGGTTAGAATTGTGGTATACCCTGATACATTTTTAATTTCCTCAAGTTTTCCATATCTGAGTAGTTGAAATTTCTCCTCAATGAACTTCATATTGTTTTGAGTGGCCCATATGATGTATTCTTTTCAAAACTGGTGGACTGATTACATCGACTCGAGACTGAGGGACTGATTACCTCAAACTCTTATTGTTCTTCATCATTCTCCATTGTATGGACTGATGAAGCCACTGTGTGGCGAAACGTTTCCACAGTAAAAATACCCAAGTGCTGCACATGCGTCAGATTTATCTACTAATGATATTACTACTGCTATTACTACTACTATTACTGCTACTACTACTATACAGCTACCGTTACTTCTACTGCCGTTACTACTACCATTACTACTACCACTACTACTCCTACTACAAAAAAATATTAATAATAATAATAATAATAATAATAATAATAATAATAATAATAATAATAATAATTTATTATTATTATTATTATTATTTATTATTATTATTATTAAGAAAAACAATAATAAAAGCAACAACGAATAACAATAACAACAACAACAACAACAACAACAAGCAACAACAACATCAACAACAAAATGAACATCAACAGCAAAAACACACAAAAGAAACAAAAACAGCAACAACAGCATCTTCATCAACTAAAACAACAACAAGAAACAACAACGACAACTACAACAACAAGCAGATAAAATAACAGCAGAGAGAGAGAGAGAGAGAGAGAGAGAGAGAGAGAGAGAGAGAGAGAGAGAGAGAGAGAGAGAGGTAAATAAGAGCAGAAGAGAGAGAGGTAAATAAGAGCAGGAGAGAGAGAGTTTGAGGTAAATGCAGTGCGCGAGGCTGTGGACGGGATGAAAGGAGTGGAATCCAACTGGCAAAATAGTTTGAATTGCTTAGAGAATTTGTTTAATATATACATGAAAGAACAAAAGGTACCTAACGACTGAACAGCGGACGAGAGATAGTGAGTGCAAGTATACTGAGTTTACTGAGTAAACGTGTATTGGGAGAATTATTATCGAAAGCGTTAAAGGGCACTTAAGTCTTCTAATAGCCACTATTGCATTTGATTTGTCTGTTTCGTAACGTGAAATCCAGAATCTTTCCTTAATTCATGATATAACTTAACAAATTATTGATGACAATTGTGTTGCAACACAACTGTCATCGAAAATTTGTAGTTATACCACGAATTAAGGAAAGATCCTGGACTTCACGTTACGAAACAGACAAATCAAATGCAATAGTAATTATGGACAATGTAGATTGTAGTGGAAAAAATTAACATGCTATTAGAAGACGGGGGAACTTACGTGCCTATTAAGGGCTGAAGGAAAATTCAGGAACAATGGAGATTTTTGGATGGGTAAGCGATGTGTTGAAAGTGTCTCAAAGGTATGCCTGGAGAAACTAAGGAATGACTTGCACTTGAAGTCGAACCTTATGACGACGTTTCGGTCATTCCTGGACCATTGTCAAGTCATTGCGTCTCCAAAGTGCCCGTTGTTTGTGAAGTTTTGATGATGTCTGTAAGCGAAATGCACTTAACTCTGGGGAAAGGAACAGCAATTGAAAAGGTGCAGCAAGAATAACAGCAGGGCGAAACAGCAACAGGTACACCAAGTGCAGCTAGACAACAACAACAACAACTACAATAATAACAGCAACAACAACCACAACAATAACAATAAAATCAACAGTGACAACAACATAAACATTAAATAAAGCAACAACAACAACAACAACATTAATAAAATATCCACTTATATAATTTTGTGCATTTAGGTAATTTAGAACTTTACATGAATTGTATGTATACAAATCTCACAGTTCATTATATTAATTATATTTTAATTAAAATTCAAATAAACATTTTCCTTCATCATTACGAATTGTATAATGCATTTCCTACATATGGAAATACTTTAAAAATAACTCTCTCTCTCTCTCTCTCTCTCTCTCTCTCTCTCTCTCTCTCTCTCTCTCTCTCTCTCTCTCTCTCTCTCTCTCTCTCTCTCTCTCTATCTATCTATCTATCTCTGCAGGACAAAGCTATCGTACACTCACCAGAGGCTGGTGTCGTCCTCAGCGGCAACAGCTTGGCTCTACGAGGTGTAACTCGACACCAGGCTGGACCTTATGTGTGTTCAGCTTCTAACGTCGAGGGTGACACCCACAGCCCTCCATTGATCCTCTCCGTTAACTGTGAGTGTAGTGCACTTACCCTCCCTTGATTCTCTCTGTTAACTGTGAGTGTAGTGCACTTACCCTCCCTTGATCCTCTGTTAACTGTGAGTGTAGTGCATTTACCCTCCCTTGATCCTCTCTGTTAACTGTGAGTGTAGTGCACTTACCCTCCCTTGGTCCTCTCTGTTAGCTGTGAGTGTAGTGCACTTACCCTCCCTTGATCCTCTGTTAACTGTGAGTGTAGTACATTTACCCTCCCTTGATCCTCTCTGTTAACTGTGAGTGTAGTACATTTACCCTCCCTTGATCCTCTCTGTTAACTGTGAGTGTGGTGCACTTACCCTCCCTTGGTCCTCTCTGTTAACTGTGAGTGTAGTGCACTTACTCTCCCTTGGTCCTCTCTGTTAACTGTGAGTGTAGTGCACTTACCCTCCCTTGATCCTCTCTGTTAACTGTGAGTGTAGTGTACTTACCCTCCCTTGGTCCTCTCTGTTAACTGTGAGTGTAGTGCACTTACCCTCCCTTGGTCCTCTCTGTTAACTGTGAGTGTAGTGTACTTGCCCTCCCTTGGTCCTCTCTGTTAACTGTGAGTGTAGTGTACTTGCCCTCCCTTGGTCCTCTCTGTTAACTGTGAGTGTAGTGCATTTACCCTCCCTTGATCCTCTCTGTTAACTGTGAGTGTAGTGTACTTACCCTCCACTGATCCTCTCTGTTAACTGTGAGTGTAGTGTACTTACCCTCTCTTGATCCTCTCTGTTAACAAGTATATGGAATAGGTGCAAGTTACTAAATGTTGTAAAGAGTTTTTATGAGGATAGTGAGACTCAGGTTAGGGTGTGTAGAAGAGAGGGAGACTACTTCCCAGTAAAAGTAGATCTTAGACAGGGATGTGTAATGCCACCATGGTTGTTTAATATATTTATGGATGGGGTTGTAAAAGAAGTAAATGCTAGGGTTTTGGGGAGAGGGGTGGGATTAAATTATGAGGAATCAAATACAAAATGGGAATTGACACAGTTGCTTTTTGCTGATGATACTGTGCTTATGAGAGATTCTAAAGAAAAATTGCAAAAGTTAGTGGATGAGTTTGGGAGTGTGTGTAAAGGTAGAAAGTTGAAAGTGAACATAGAAAAGAGTAAGGTGATGAGGGTATCAAATGATTTAGATAAAGAAAAATTGGATATCAAATTAGGGAGGAGGAGTATGGAAGAAGTGAATGTTTTCAGATACTTGGGAACTGACGTATCGGCGGATGGATTGATGAAGGATGAGGTTAATCATAGAATTGATGAGGGAAAAAAGGTGAGTGGTGCGTTGAGGTATATGTGGAGACAAAAAACGTTAACTATGGAGGAAAAGAAGGGAATGTATGAAAGTATAGTAGTACCTACACTCTTATATGGGTGTGAAGCTTGGGTTGTGAATGCAGCAGCGAGGAGGCGGTTGAAGGCAGTGGAGATGTCCTGTCTAAGAGCAATGTATGGTGTAAGTGTGGAAATTAGGAGGTGTGGAGTGAATAAATTATTAGTCATAGGGCTGAAGAGGGGTTCTTTAGGTGGTTTGGTCATTTAGAAAGAATGGATCAAAGTAGAATGACATGGAGAGCGTATAAATCTATAGGGGAAGGAAGGCGGGGTAGGAGTCGTCCTCGAAAAGGTTGGAAGGAAGGGGGTAAAGGAGGTTTTGTGGGCGATGGACTTTGACTTCCAGAAGGCGTGCATGAGCGTGTTCGATAGGAGTGAATGGAGACGAATGGTATTTGGGACCTCACGATCTGGTGGAACGTGAGCAGGGTAATATTTAGTGAAGGGATTCAGGGAAACCGGTTATTTTTATATAGCCGGACTTGAGTCCTAGAAATGGGTAGTACAATGCCTGCACTCTAAAGGAGAGGTTCTGGATATTAGCAGTTTGGAGGGATACGTTGTGTATCTTTATACGTATATGCTTCTAAACTGTTGTATTCTGAGTACCTCTGCAAAAACAGTGATTATGTGTGAGTGAGGCGAAAGTGTTGAATGATGATGAAAGTATTTTTTGGGGGGATTTTCTTTATTTTTTGGGGTCACCCTGCCTCGGTGGGAGACGGCCGACTTGATATTATATATATATAAATATATATATATATATATATATATATATATATATATATATATATATATATATATATATATATATATATATATATTATATATATATAAAACAAAGGATTCCCTCCCTACATGACCTTACACAGGTAATGACACGGGGACAGGAAACGGGTCTCATACTGAATCCATCCAAATGTGAAATCATCTCAGTCAGTCAACAAGTGATAAATGCAAATGAGATCAAAACTACCAGGAGCAGCAGTCATTGCCCCCACAAATAGTGTCTTGCTAGGAGCACCTCTGGGAAGCAATGCATTGACACAATTCTCAGGAAGAAATTGGAAGAGTTAAGGAGAATGGAAACAACGAATAGGCAATCTGACACCCACGATGCCTTGTACCTTCTCACAAAGTGCTTGAGTCTGCCCAGGTTGACATATTTCCTAAGATGTGCACCTTCATATTTAAAAACCCTATACTGCACGAATATGACAGTATTCTGAGGCAGATTTTTACGAAAGTACTTAACCTTACTCTAGAAGACGGGCAGTGGAACCAAGCTACACTTCCAGTCAGACTAGGAGGCATTGGTGTCCGCAAGTCATCACAGATTGCATTACCTGCTTTTCTGTCCTCGTGTATTGCATCCAGAGAGCTTGTAGCAGCGATTCTCCCTGAACATCTTAGGGACAAGATTGGAGTCCAGGACCAAAAAATTCATTGACGGAGCAATGATCTGGGAATAATCTAACGGCTCAGAAACCAGACCTGCTTCCCCCAACAACTACAAACAATCGCACTGGGATGGTTCAATAGTGGAAAATATAGCCTTAACAATGCTTCAGAGTGTATCAGGGAAGGATAGAGCCCGTCTGCTGGCAGTGAGAGCCCCTCATGCTGGGGACTTTCTGTTGGCTGTTCCCAACTCCAGCCTGGCACACGCCTCGACCCACAGACCATCCGCATCGGTGTTGCCCTTCGACTTGCCGCCCCTATTCTCGCCGAACACAGGTGTATTTGTGGCAGTGAAGCAGCAGACCGATTCGGGTACCATGGTTCTTGTGTGCCGTAAATCCGAGGGAAAGATTGCAAGAGATGAGGAGGTTAATAACATTATCAAGAGGAGCCTCACAACAGCTGGATGCCCAGCAGTAAGGGAGCCACCCCAACTATGCAGATCTGATGGCAGCCAGAAGCGTCCAGATGGTAAACACCCTTCAAGCCTGGACAGATGGGAAGCAGGTGGTGTGGGACTATACATGTGCATCTACCTTGGCTGAACCTATCTCCAATACACCAGGGAGGAAGGAGGGGCAGCTGCAAGCTTCAGGGAGTCCCAAAAGTCTAGAAAATATGGAGATCTTGGCCCATCATTATAGGTTTGTTCCCATTAGGACTCTGGACCCTTGGCTCATGGGGAAAGAGTGCATCTAATTCCTTAAGGAGCTGGGAAAAAGACTCATCAGGGTAAACTAAGGGATACCAGGGAAGCGAGTTTTCTGTTCCGCGGCTCAGTGCGGCTGTTCAAAGGGGTAATGCCAGCTGTATTTTTGGGCACACGCGCCCCGCTATGAGGAGTGATGAGATTTTCGCCTTATAAGCAGTGGAATACACACGTAACACTTGTACCTTTATATGACACCTTAATATTAAATCCAATGTTTCTCTTAAATCTTCTGTCCCATTTTATGAAATAAAATATTCCTATTTGGTAAAAAAATATATATTCTATAATATGATTGGGGTGGTAGGGGAAGTGGAATATTCAAACAGCTAAGGACGAAATCCAATTATTCTTCATTGAAGCCTTTTATGCAACTTCTCGAGGCTTATGGGTTCCACAATTACACCAGAGGTGGGACCCCATCCTATTATATATATATATTATATATATATATATTTATATATATTTATATTAATATATATTATATAGATTTATTTTTAGATTTTTATATATATATATATAGATATATATATTTATATTATATATATATATATATTTATATATATTTACATGACCGGAGTTGCAGCCCACCCCGGTGAATGACTGCAAGTTCTAATGTGATTCAAGATTGCATTTGAATCCTGAGTACTGATGTTAGTCTAGTCTGATTTTCAAGCTGTTTACCTGTCTGCCCGACGTACACGAAAGAGAGCATAGTGTGCATGGGAGGTTCAGTTATAATTATTGTCTTCATATAAATAATAAAAAAAAACAATAAAAAAAAATTTTATTTTTTGACAACATACTTTATATTGAGCTTGTAATGCACCACAAATTATTGGTGTTTTTTTTCTTTAGCGTCACCATGCGGCCATATTTCATCGTAAGACAAAAACCATTATATTTTTCTGGTAGGCACTTCCCTAGTTCAGTCTTCTAGAAAGTCTTCTTAGCTACCAGTACACACTTTTCTCATCCAAATACCCAGTATCTCAGTGTTGATGTGTGTATGACGAATATCAATTAATTTCAATCTCAAATATTCGTGCTATAAATACAAGTCGGTATGGATGCTTCTGAGCAATTTCATTCTCTACCATGTATGCCCTCGGATAACGGACAAAAAACACCTAGCTGACTGGGTACGTCATTCTGAGGATTGTGTTGTACCGTGGACAACGAGCGTCATGTTGATTTTCGCTCACCATTTGAGGCGGGCCAAAGTATCATGGGTTTGGACTCCTTGGCTAGTCACAGTGTTGTTTATATATATATATTTTCTATTTATATATATATATATCTCTATATATTATTTATATATATCATATATATATATATATATAATGTCGTGCCAAATAGGTATACGTGTGATGTTGCTTAAATAGCAACGCTCCTCTTACGATACGGCAGGGCGAAAACTTTGTGTATGCCAGTCACTTTTGCCCCACAAATTCTTTGTACCTAACGAATAATATTCATTTCGT